CACACACACACACACACACACACACACACACACACACACACACACACTCTGAATAAATAACAATGTTTTTAAAATAAGAAGATGCATTGCAGAGGGAGTGAAGAAGGAGAAGGTTGCAGAAATCTGAACTGGCCACGGTGTGTGGATCGAAATGGATGGCTGTGATGTTTAGGGAGGGGGAATGGAGATGAAGATTTAACACGAGAGCTAGCCTGGCAAGGTGTTAAGAGCTCTGCTGTACTTGATCACATTCTTACCTCTTTCTCTGGCTTGCAACTTTCCAGGCAACTTACGGGCTATCAACCCAGAAAACGGTTTCTTTGGAGTTGCTCCAGGCACCTCGGTGAAGACAAATCCTAATGCCATTAAGACCATCCAGAGGAACACCATCTTCACCAACGTGGCCGAGACTAGTGATGGGGGTGTTTACTGGGAAGGCATTGATGAGCCGCTGGCCCCGGGCGTCACCATCACCTCCTGGAAGAACAAGGAGTGGAGACCACAGGATGGTGAGTGGCCTCCAGAGGCCATGTGCCGTGTTGTGTGGGTGCCACCCGTCTGGGCCACAAGCTAAGGGCTATCTTTCTTTTGTAGAGGAACCATGTGCCCATCCCAACTCAAGATTCTGCACCCCTGCCAGCCAGTGCCCCATCATTGATCCCGCCTGGGAGTCTCCGGAAGGTGTGCCCATTGAGGGCATCATTTTTGGTGGCCGTAGACCTGCAGGTGAGACATCTTAGTTCAGGCTCGGAACCTGGGGTGTGGTGATACAAAGAAATCCTAGAAATCTTTTCCCGACCTATTTCCAAAGATCTTCCTCCCTCTATATCCAAACTAACAAGGCCAGTTCAAATGTAGGGCCAGCTCTCTGATCCCCAGTGGCCTTTCTGGATCTGCGATCCGAGATAGCTTAGGTTAGTGCCCTGCTCCACTGAGTGACCTCTCTGGTGTGACTGGCCTTAGCGGTTTCCTGTTTATTGTCCCTGCAGATGTAAGATTAACTCCATAGAAAATTCTGTTTGTCAGGCATGGTGGCTCACACCTGTAATCTTAGCACTTGGGTGGATGAGGCAGGAGGATTGCTGCAAGTTCATGGCTAGCCTGGGCTACTGAGTAAGCTCCAGGCTATTCTGGGCTACAGAGTGAAACTTCCTTAAAATAAAAATAAAAAAAGATACTATTTGGTTGAACAATGACCAATAGCACCATTAGTCTTAGAGAGTTCGGATGTCTGAGTCTTATGACCTTTTTTCTCCCCACTCAAGGTGTCCCCCTTGTCTACGAAGCTCTCAGCTGGCAGCATGGGGTGTTTGTAGGAGCAGCCATGAGATCAGAGGCCACAGCTGCTGCAGAGCACAAGGGTGAGTCAAAGTCTGGGCCCCAAGTCCCGGGAAAGGCAGTCCAAGCCTTCTTCTTGGACTTTCCCAGGGCAGTCAGAGCGTCCCCCAGGGCCCACTCAGTAGCCTTCCCTTCCCCTTTAAGTGAAGCGGGATCGGATCCTTGAACCAGAGCCCTGGGCTTCTCCTGGGCCTCTCAGAGGAACAAAGCGGCAGGGGCTTGGCTGGTTCCCTAGATCTTTGGTTCTGTCATGGAGAAAGAATTGGGTGTGATCAGGTCAGAGGTCAATGGGTGGTCTCTGTGTGACAGGCAAGGTCATCATGCACGACCCCTTTGCCATGCGGCCTTTCTTTGGCTACAACTTCGGCAAATACCTGGCCCACTGGCTGAGCATGGCCCACCGTCCACCGGCCAAGTTGCCCAAGATCTTCCACGTCAACTGGTTCCGGAAGGACAAAGATGGAAAGTTCCTGTGGCCGGGCTTCGGCGAGAACTCCCGGGTGCTGGAGTGGATGTTCAACAGGATCGAAGGGGAAGACAGCGCCAAGCTCACGCCCATCGGCTACATCCCTAAGGAAAATGCCCTGAACCTGAAAGGCTTGCGGGACATCAACATGGAGGAGCTATTCGGAATCTCCAAGGAGTTCTGGGAGAAGGAGGTGGAGGAGATCGAGAGGTACTTGGAAGAGCAAGTCAATGCCGACCTCCCCTATGAGATTGAGAGGGAACTCCAAGCCCTGAAACAGAGAATCAGCCAGATGTAATCCTAACTGGGGGGACGTCTTAGGAGTCACCACTTCCCACCCGGAGCATGCGCAGGGAGCCGGCCCCAGCTTTGAGATAACAGCCACAATGCTGAGTAGATCAGAAAGGCATCTTTAGTAGTCAGTACTGAAGAGTACCACAGAGAACAGACTAGGGACAAATACGATTGGGAGGGGAAATCAAGGCACGCCCTCCAAAGTTTGCACCTGGCCGAGGTGCAGGCTTTGGTTCCACTTCAAAGTCACTCAGGAATCCAGTTTCTCACTTTAGCTGTAGCAGTTAGCTGAGATGCACAGAAAACATACTTGAGCTGTATATACGAGTGTGTGTGTTTGTGTCTGTGTGTGTGTGTGCATGCATCGTCCCATTGTCTACAAGATATTTAATAGCTTTGGAAAATCTTGGGCAAGTTTATCTGCAGTTGTAACAGACTTGTTGCTTTGTTGCTAGTATGTATGTTTAAATTATTTTTATACACTACCCTCACTTACTTTTCTTGACATAATTAAAATAGGTGTCCTGACCACTTCTTGGGGGAAAAAAAGTACAAAATAAACTTTTATAGAAAAAGTGGATTTCATTGGCTTTGGCTTTTCTTTTTACTTGAACTGGGTGAAGGAAGAGCACTCTGATTAGCCACCTTGGGCTTTAATCCTGCTCTTCTGAGACCTGAGAGGTTGAAAGGAGGGAACTTGTCAGGGGCTGGGGGTGGGCCAGGAGTGGGGCGGGAGCTGGAGCTGGGAGGGGAGAAAGCAGAACGCTTGGTTTCCCCTGTGATAAGCCATTGGTGCCACTAGTTGGCGCTCTTTAGCAGCTTTTCAGACAGGCCTGTGTGTTTGCACAGTTGGATCCAGAGGGTTTAGGGTGAGCTGAATGAGAATTTGATCCCGGGGGCTCAGCCCTCTCCATAAGTGCACTGTGGACAGGCACAGGCCTTTGCCTTCAAGCCCTTTCACGAGTAACACTTTTCTCAGTCTCTATGAGCCTAGGGAGTGGAGGGAAAACCAGAAGGAAGAGCATTAATTGTGCTCCTCGTGTGTACTCAGCTGTGCCATATGCTGCCCGGGAAGGGATATTGCAGGGGTTGGCCCAAGGTCAGCCTGTGGCCCTTCCTGGGTCTTTTCTGCTCCCTTCATTTATTGGCTGTTCCAGAAGAGTCTAAACAAACCATAAACTTTATACAGTGTTATATGGCGCATTTGCCCTGCAGATGAGTACTTGTTCCCTCCCAGCATGTTTTCCTTTCAGGGAGCTGGCTCAGATGGCTTTACCCTCCTTCACCTCACCCCAGATGCTGCCTCATTCCCACACTCATTAGACACCTCCGGCCACTCCCTTAGCCACTCACCTACACAGACCCACAATTCCCCAGGGCAGTCAGAGCGTCCCCCAGGGCCCACTCAGTAGCCTTCCCTTCCCCTTTAAGTGAAGCGGGATCGGATCCTTGAACCAGAGCCCTGGGCTTCTCCTGGGCCTCTCAGAGGAACAAAGCGGCAGGGGCTTGGCTGGTTCCCTAGATCTTTGGTTCTTCCAGGAACACTGAATCACGTGAGGAGGGGGCTTGTTCTACACAGCTGACCCGCTAATGGCCCCAGGTGGGCTCACCATGAGGCTGACCTCCTCCCTTCCCCCTCCTTCCTAGCCGTCAGCCCCAGACAGGTGACATCAGGGTACTCCTGTACCTCGTCTACGTTCCCCAGGCAGCACTGGCTCTGTTAAGATATGAGAATGAAATGGTGTGACCCAGCTCAGTGCAGGCCTTGGGGTCTGTGAGAGAGGATGGGTGCAAGTCGACGCCGGGACGCTACCTCTTCAGTGTGACCTCTGGTAATCACATGGAACTCTGAGCCTCAGCTTCCTCGGTTGTAAAAAATGGGTAGATTTCCTTGAGGACATCTGAAGAGATCAGATGAGCTGATTCGAGAGGGGCGTGACACAGAAAAGGGCCCAACGGGGACAGCGATTTCAGCTTTCCTCTGGATCCCCAGTGTGGCTGGGTGGAAGCCATATCATGGTGGGACCCTGCCCTTCCCCTCCCTCATTGACTCTGAAGAGCAACTGTGTTCAGGGGTGGCCCTTGTTCTTCTGTGCGGCCCTCATCCCCATCCTCCCTCCTTATAGATTTCAGGGTGAGAGAAGGGAGAGGAGGACAGTCAGGAGGACCACGAGCAGCATTTTACCACTGCGCCCCAACTCCCATAGTTACCTCCACCTTTCACAAGACCCGAACAAAAGGGTTTGAGCCTGAGGCCAGCAATTCTGCCTTTCTGAGGTGTACCTCAAGGTAGGTTTGTTTGTAGCTCTATTGTGCAGGAGGTGCTGGGCTCTATCCACAATGCCACAAAAAGAAGGGGAAAGAGAGAAAGAGAAGGAGGGAGGGAGGGACCGAGGGAAGAAGAAAAGAAGGAAGGAAGAAAGGGGAAAAAAGTAAAAATTGTTTCCTAAGGAAAAAAAAAATCACACCTACCCTAACAAAAGCATCCAGGACCTGACGGCCATGTTGCCAGCTGTCATAGCCATGGCCCAACCATAAAGAATTAATGAAAGAAGCTATAATTTTTTTTTTTTGTTGTTGTTGTTCCAGAATAGACCACCAGGTCATGTTAGAACAAAAGAAGAGGTGATCTACCCACAGCACTGGGCTCATGTCTTGGGGCCACCAGTTTCAACTAGTAGATGATTTGTGCATGGTTCCTGTCACCCCTGCCCACAACCCGCTATTCCAAAAAAGTCCCCAGAACTTTGCTGCAAGCAAAGTATTTATATCAAGCCAGGAGCCCCCACCCCAACTAAGTTGGCAGATGAACAGTTCTTTCTGAGGGGACAAATGGCAAATGTTGGTTGGGGTAAGTTGGAACCGGTGGCCTTCTGGCCTTCCCTGAAGTTTGGCCTGAGGTTTTCCTGGCTGGCTTCTACAGGAAGCTCAGCAGAGGGAGGGACCCACAGGAGAGGCTCAGGGTGCAGGCGAAGCCCACTTCAGAGGACCTGTTCCTGTGACAGGAGGGCAGCTGGGCATGATCAATGAGGAGTTGATTATTACAGAACTGAATCCCTGAATCATGTTCTCTTGGCCATCTGGGTCCCCTCAGCATTGGGACAAAAGCTTAGAGGTCTCTGAAATGCGTAGAGTGGGGACTTGGGGGCTGCCACAGAGGAGCAGCGGACGTCATTGAGTCCACAGCCGCCTCGGAGTAGAGCCAAGAACAGATTCACGTGGCTGACATTTCTCCCTGAGAGCCTTGCCCACGCAGCCCAGGTCCTGTGGTCCAGCTAGGCTGTGAGCCCCTTGGTAATGGGATATGCAAATGAGCCAGTGTTTGCCAGCCTGAGTGGCAGACCTGCTCTCCAGGCGAAGCAATTTACAGCAAAATACGCTGTAAATATTTGTTCAGCTCAGGAAAATGACTTTAATTGCATAATTAAACTTGTAGGCTCTACTTCCAGATGAAAGGGTGGGGAGAGGCAGGCAGCCTGCAGCTGTCCCTCGGAACTTGTTGACAGCGAGGACCGGCCACTTGTTCTATACTTTGTTCAGACCCTTCTTCCCACAGTGCAAGCCTGGGGAGTGATGAGGGAGGGTGAAGGAAGGAGTGGGGGACAGTGGTGGCTATGGGTAGATGGAGAGCAAGACAGACCCCCAAATCAGAGCAGCTCTGGAAAGGGGTCTGAAGACCCTCAGGCAGGCCCTAGTGCCAATGCCCAAATAGCTCCAGTGTGCCCCACTGTTGATGGGCCACGGTGACTAGAGCCCACGGTCAGTTCTTTTAAATGGAAAAGTACCGGTAGAAGCTGGGATGTCACAGGCTGACATCGTGATGCTTGGGAGGCTGAGGCAGGGCGAGCATGAGTTCAAGGCCTGTCTGGGCTCTGAGCCAAGGTGAGCCTAAGCAACTTAGCGAGACCTTGTCTCAAAACCAAAACTAAAAACAAGGTCTGGAAGGTAGCGCAGTGGTAGAGTGCCTGCCCAACATATATCAGCATTTGTGTTTAATTCTCAGTGATGAAAAACAAACAAACAAACAAACAAACAAACACCAAAAAGATGGGGATAAGAAGAGGACAGTGTTACAGCTATGCGTCGAACGCATCATTCCTTGCTAAATCAACACATTTTCTTTTCTTTTCTCTCCTCTTCCTCCTCCTCTCCTTCCTCCTCCTTCTTTCTCAGACACAGTCCGTGTAGCTCAATCTGGCCTTTAAACTTTCTGTGTAGCAGAGGTTGATCTTGAACTCCTGATCCTTCTCCCTCAGTGCTGAGATTAGAGGCACGAGCCAGCACGCTAGTGTATGTGGCACTGAGAATTCAACCAGGGCTTCATGCATGCTAAGCAAGCACTTTTAACAGAGCTGCTGTCCCAGTCCAACAATCACATTCTTTCCTTTCCTTTTCTTTTTTTAAATCCCCCCCCCCCGCCCCTCTCATTTGTTTGTTTTTAGAGACAGGATTTCTCAGTCTTGGCTGGGTTTCTCTGTTTGTTTTTAGAGACAGGGTTTCTCTGTTCCTTGGCTGTCCTGGACTTCGTTGTAGACTCTCTTGAATGCCCAGAGATCTGCCTGCCTCTGCCTCCTGAGCTCTGGGATTAAAGGCAAGTGCCACCATCCCGGCACAACCACATTCTTTATCATAACTGGAAAAGCCAGTCAGCAAAGACACTGGAGCTGGGCGGCTCCATCTCTGTGGGAACCAGAGCAAGCTGGTCTGAGGGATAGAAGTGGCTTGGTAGTGACCAGGTGTCCAGGGAGCAGGAGACTGGGGAGTGCGCAGAGAGCACAAAGTTCCTTTGGGAAACATTTCAAGGCGGAATGTTGGGAAAGTTTGTACAGCCCTGTGAATATATTAAAACCCATTAAATCATGCATTTTAATGGGTGGCTTTTATGGTATCTAAATTACAGCTTCATAAAGTTTGTTTAAAAAAAAAAAGAAAAAATACAACATAAACAAAGATTCACTTAACCCATATCAGAATCCAGCTGCCTTCTAAAGAGAAAGCTAGAGGCTGGAGCTTTGTCACCTGATAAGAGGTATACATTCCTCACAGGGATTCTAACTAGAAGAAAGGGTAAAGTTTCAGAGAAGATGGGAAAGCCACAGGAAATTCATTTCATTAATGACTAGATAAGAAACAATGCCAGTCGGGCACATGCCTTTAGTTTCAGCACTTGGGAGGCAGAAGCAGAAGGATCTCTGTGGGTTCGAGGCGAGCCTGGTCTACAAAGTGAGTCTAGGATAGCCAGAGCTACACAGAGAAACCCTGTCTCAAGACAAAGGAGGAGGAGGAGGAGGAGGAGGAGGAGAAAGAGGAGGAGAGAGAGAGAGAATAAGGAAAGGAAGGAAAAAGAGAAAAGAAAAAAGGAAAGAAAAAGAAAAGAAAAAAGAAAAGAGAAACAAGGACTAAAAAAGTCAGGTCCAACGAAAAGTCCCTTGACCAGCAGGTGGCAGAGCTGAAACCACCAGGACCCTCAAGTTCCAGGAACAGGCACAGACCTTGACCATGAGCCCAGATGATCCTACTAAGAAGCGAGGGACCCTAGTCTGGAGACCAGGACCCTCACCAGTCCTGCCAGCAGGAAGA